CCACAGCTCTGCCGGTAGGTACTGCCATGCTTCAGCCTGTTTCGGCCACACACGACAACTTACTGTCGGAACTGTAAAACATTGGGCTGTCATTCCATAAACCAATCGTATTCATCGATCTAAAGTTTTCACCAATCAGGGAACGTTTACGCCACACTCTAGACACGCCCTCCTCATACACTGACCAATCGCTGGATGCTCAATGCCGTCCTTCTGTAAAACCACTCCGGGTGGAAAGTGCAAAACATGTGAGAGAGCGTTTTCACATGTCAACGACTGCAGAATAGAAATAATTTCGGCAGTATTTGCCCATTAAAGTACTAAGTAAATTCGTTTTATCGGCCTGGGAAAAAGGTTATAATTCTTCTGATAAATCTGAATTGAGAAGGAGTTGGAGGATCCGATCCATAAGCATGAGCTTGCTGCCTCGCACCGCTGAGGAGTTCAGCTCGGCGGACTACTGGGAGCGCTTTTTCCGTAAAAGAGGAGAGAAGGCTTTCGAGTGGTACGGAGACTACAACTCCCTCTGCGGTGTACTGCATAAATACTTTAAACCTCGTGATAAGGTAACTAAGACATCGTAAGCACCAAATCAGCATAATAGAAAGATCCTGTGACACTGAAGACTGGAGTAATGATGCTGAAGATTCAGTTTTGCCATCACAGGAGTAAATTACATTCAAAAATATATTCAATTAGAATCGTGTTGTTTTAAATTGTAATGATGTGTCACAGTTTCAGCTTCTTGTTCTTTTTTTTTTTTTGACTGTATTATCTTTTTATTATGAAATACCAACCCGAAACGTTTGAACGTTTAAAAAAATGTATATAATGCCATAATGCATTTAATATCAAACATTACTTTTTTCTTCTTCTTTGGAACAAAAAAAATTGAGAAATTTTGAAGAACTGTACAGGTTGATCTGTTCTTGTTCACACTTACAAATGATGTAAATGTTATTAAATATATATTATTAAAGTGGTTCAAATCAGTTTCTGAGCCAGTTTTGTGAACTGGAGCAACTGATTCATTGAAAATTTGATTCTACAGAATGATTCTTTTGATAATTCTGTCCTTCCTTCATGAACATGCTAAGAAGAACTAGGATGTCTGGGATTTCAAGATTTTCAGTAAATATCGACTGAACTAGTTTTTAATAGCCAATAAAGGAACCGAAAATAAAAAATGCATTTTATACAAATATAAATAATAATAAACATCATGTAGATGAGAGTTAGGTAACCTTAGAATTAGAATTGTAACTCTTGTTCTCTTCTGCAGGTGTTGGTGGTGGGCTGTGGTAACTCTGAGCTGAGTGAACAGCTCTATGATGTTGGCTACCATCAGTTAACCAACATTGACATCAGCGAAACGGTGGTGTCGCACATGAACCAGAGGAACGCAGAGCACCGTCCTGACCTGACCTTCCAGCAGCTGGATGCCACCCAGACGTGCTTTGAGAGCGGGAGCTTTCAGGCAGCTCTGGATAAGGGCACGCTTGATGCCATGGCTTCAGAAGAGGACGGTGCACTTGCAGGCAGGATGCTGGCAGAAGTTGGCAGAGTTTTGGCTGTGGGAGGCCGGTATGTCTGCGTAACCTTAGCCCAGGAGCACGTCATAAAGCTGGCTGTGGAACATTTCGCCCAGGGTTGGGCTGTACGAATTCACTGTCTTAGCGGACAGCAGAACGAAGAGTCTGATTCCTCCTTTGCCCTCCCTGTATTCGTTCTAGTTTGCACCAAATTCCGCCAAGCGCCCCCGTTTGCAGTGCTTGAGTTGTGTCAGGGGGAGGATGGCGCTCCTGCTAGACTTGCATCAGTACCAGAGCTGTTGTCCGCTGTGAAGGAAAGACAGGCCTACAGTCTAATGCTGCATAAGCTCAGAGGTGGAACAGATGCTAGCAGCACACCGTCCCTCACGCTGTGCCATGCAGCCACTGACCGGCCTCGATACACTCTGATGGTGCAGGATAGCCTGCCCTCTGCCAAGCTGCCACGGAGTAATCACTTCGCCATCTTTATTGGTGAGCATTTGGTTCTTTTGCCTTTCACTGTCAGATGATCACTGTCATAGGCCAAGTATAGTTACCTATACAGAGAGTGCAGGAGTCGGATTTCAGAAGTAAAAATCCCATTCATTTTCTCCATAGCAGAACTGATTTTTAATGGTAACTTATAAACCATTCAAGACGGTTCTGCTGTGAGCTACAAGGTTATTAATCAGCATATGCTTTTGTTGAAGCATATTTTTGTTAAATACGTATGTTTGTGTATTTATATATACATAATAAATATACACAGTACA